ATAAATAAAATAAATAAAATAAATAAAATAAATAAAATAAATAAAATAAATAAAATAAATAAAATAAATAAAATAAATAAAATAAATAAAATAAAAGATATTTAAAAGAATAAATAATAATTTTATGATATAATTATTATTATTTAATTATAGTTAGGATTATACTTTTTAATTTTTGATCAAAATTGTAATAATCAAAGAATCTAGGCTTAAATTGTATTTTAGGGATTAAAATTATATAATCTCTATAGTAAAATAATTCAATACTGTATTTTCATTTTCACTATTAAGTATCTTAGTATTATATAAATTATTTGGTAATTATTTATCAGATCTAATTAATAATTAATGATAAATTAAATGATTTAAATATTTTAGGTAATTTATAATATAACTAATAAACTATACTATTACCTTATTTATCACTATAACTATTATATATTAAACTTGAAATAATGTATAATGAATATATAAAACTAAGAATAACTATTAGTTATTTTATAGTTATATAATAATCACTGATTATATTAGTTATAGCCTATAAAGTAATTATATGGGATATGATTAATCACCCAGAGCATAATATTACCCAGTGAGCTAGGAAATATAAGAGATTGCTAATGATTAGTTACTGGCCATCCTTATTATATATATAGGATATGTAATTCCTGTCAATACTGCTAAAATACAATAGGATGTTTTGCTAAAAAATTCAGCATTATATTTAGTCTAATACTGCATTAGGAAGCAGCCTTTGAAGAATGACGGCCCTTGATCCAATTTTTGAATGGCTGCTCTTACCATCTTTGTCCTCCCAATCACAATCCCAAATTTGGATGTGCCAAACGCCATTCATTTTTGTCCTTGCCATCTTACGGCAAAGATATGCAATACGGTCAGCTTGCTCATGATCACCACATTCCAGAACAGTTATTTTAGCCTCAAGTTTGAAGGCCAGTAACAAAATCGGATAGTAAAAGGTATCTTCCATTTTGTAGTCTGTAGTCGAAAGCAAGTCATGATGCCCCATCAGAGGTACCAATGCGATTTTTGGCTCATACCTTCTCACACTACGCGTAGTAGTACCATCGCGATAGGATGTGGCAGATACATATGGTGGGTTGGAAATCAGGATATCATACTTAAGAGACTTGTCGTATGTACACGACGAGTTGTTAGCTGCAAGCTGGAGAAGTCCTTGTGAAGCAGACTCGAGTATTTGATCAAACCGCCTATCCAGGATGTTACCCTGGTAGAAACGAACTTCATGAATTGCGCGTTCATCAAGTGACCCAAGCCGCACGTTATGCATAATGTTGTCATTGGCCAATGCCAAAGCTTTAGCACTGATGTCAAATCCAACGATACTCATGCTTTTGAAATGAGGAGCGAGGAGTGCGTGCAAAAGCAAGGGTATGCAGCCTGTCCCGCTACACAAGTCGAGTACGCGCAAGGGTCTAAGATGAGAAGAAGGGTGCTGGCCATGGGTCGAAAATGTCTTCAATATGAGTCGTGCGGCACGAAGCGTGTAAGATTCCGTATCGGACCTATTGAATCAATTTCGGTTCTTGAAACTCAGATGATAAAAATAACAAACCTGGGAATAAGAACATCCTTTCGGCATAGAATATCCAAGTCACCAAATGGCTGATTTCCAAGTATGTATTGAAGCGGCTTCCCCCTAGAACGTTCCCGGCACATAGATTTGAGCTGGCTTCTCCATCCATAACGTGTGTCCCCCAAAGACTTATAGATCTGGGAGACATCCGGCCTTCTTGACCCGAGAGCATGTTGACGAAGCCAGTGCAGTTCGTTTCGCGCAGAACCAACGGAGCGACATTCCCTCAACAATAGGGGAAGGAGAGGATCTCGCCGGTACGCTTGCAGGATAGAGAATGTATTGAGACGCGGCATGATCCTCGCAGCTGACTGCAAAGCTGTTGATACGACGGACTATGAAAATGCCTTACAATGAATGATGTGAGTATGAAAATTAGGCAAAGAAATTAAAACTTGTTCGTTTCAGGTACTCGGTTCATACTGCGATGAACATTTCTCAACTAGTATTCAAAGTAAACATTAGCATAAAAGATTGCAATACCAAATAAATCGTCATAAGCGAGCCCAACCTCAGAAACAAATAGCATTTATTTAGATGATATTAATGAGAACCAGAAATAGATGAATACCACGAGGAATATAGATATCCTATAATAATCAGTATGGCCATCATGTGATGTAATTATTGTTAGAAAGATGTATTGAAATGAATATCCTCCATAACGCCACCATACATTAAGAAAAGGGGACGAACACTATTTAGTTCAAGAGGACCAGCAAGGTTGTTTGTTACTCAGGGGGGGGGGTTCATTGGCTCCCTTCTATATGAGGAAACCAGAGGGTCAAACCCAGAATGGTACCTGGTATTGTTACGGTAGTACATATTGAACCCAGGGCAAATAAGAGATTAGAAGTTGAATAATAAATCATATGGGAACTGAAACAGGAGACAATATCAGGGAGAAAGGGAGCATCAGGACGAGAAGTCGGTCAAGAATGTAAGGATACAGTACGCCTTTTGTTGTATGACGCCTTTCTATTCCTCTCTACCCAAATGCTTTAGCTTTGCTTGCACTCTGCTGCCTCTTTCTTAGGCTTGGAGGTACCATCCTTCCATAAGTTAGCTGCAGTACGGTCAGAAATTTACGAAATACTCACTTCTTCGTCAGAGTCATCATCGACGTCCCGGTCGGATCTTCTGTCATCATCGTCTTCCTCCTCTTCGTCATCTTCTTCCTCATCATCATCTAAGTCATCCGCATCGATATCATCTGCAAACTCCTCAAACTGAAGAGCATCGCCGGTGAACCAGTCAATCGCACGAGGGATAAGCTTCTCCTTAATATCCTCCCCAAGCTGATAATCAAGCTCCAGGCGTTCTTCGATATCTTCGGCAATGGATTCATCATCCTCCGTGGGTGGTTGGGGAGGCGAGAAGAAGTTGAAGAAAGACTCGGTCGGGACAGTGATCTTGACTATACGGGTCTGCTTCGTATCTGAAGAAGAAAGGAGGAAAGGCAAATTAGCAATATTCTTGAAACATATGACAAAGGACTTACTTTTATTTCTCTGTTTCTTGCTTTCAATTCGGATGGTAAGGTCTTGACCAGCCTTCCAGTCAATTTTATCACCTTCAGCATGATCATAGATGAAATCACCACCATATCCATTCTCTTCCTTGTAGTAGTAGGTTTTAGTGATGGTTTTGTTGGTGAAGAAATCGTTTTCTGCAAACTCAAACATGAGACGGAATCCGGGCCGGTCGAGATATTCCATCTGAATATCCTTAAGATGTTTTAAAGCCTCTTCATCACGCTCTGTGATCATTTCCGCCAAAGAGATCTGATTTTTCATAGCTGAGAGCCAAAACTCGGGAATCCCAAACGTTGCAGTCTCACTACCCTCATCTTTGGCCTCGTCGGAAATTTTTTCACTTTCATCATCTTCGTGATCTTCGTGACCAGCATCGACTTCACTTTCAGTCGGTTCAGTGGTGCCGTTTACAATTTCAGCACGCCTCTGGTATAAAGGCATGAACTTAGTAAAATACTTCTTCTCAAGCTCCAGGACCTCTTCCTGGAACTGTGTCTCGAGCTTAGCATGGTCTTTTTGAATTCCCTTCAAACCAGCAACGCGACGCCGAACTGGAGGAGGAAGAGACTCGATATATCCAGAAGAGCGGCCAATAAGAGAGCCGAGTTTTCCTTGGATCATCGATACAAGTGCTGGATTCTTCGCAAAAATACCAGCTGCGTCAAAGGTTTCTATAGTGTTGTTAGAAAACTAGCCCTATTTAAAGAGATAAATACAATATACCTTCTTTGATACTAGAAACGCCGGGCTGTTGAGCATGAGACGAGATGGGTGCATTGTTTGCTGGTGTGTTCTGAGGAGTCCTATCATTTTATTAGTGCTGCAATACCATGATAGATTTTACATGAGATAAGGCCCTTACGGTGCGATCGGAAAATCCGCCTTTTTGTTTCTAATCGGTTCAGACATGCTGAAAGTCTGAAAGAGAGATACTGAGGCAATGGTGGATTCGGTTGCAATTGGGAAAATTGTGTTGAGGGTTGAAAAAGATTTTGGATACCCTTTGGTTTTGGGACGGTCTGGATCAGGTGCTGGCTTGGTGGGATTCTTAGCGCGGAGGGGCTTGGCGCTATGCCTGCTTTAAGAATGCTCAACAATAATCATAACTATTACAGAGCAGTACTTAATAATACCTACCTAGGTTGTAGGTTCTTTCTTCCTCTATCTATACAAGCTACCTACCAAGTACCTAGGTAAGTGTGTTAAGATATATTCATAAAAATCTAGTATTTAAAAATATAGTAAATGTCGGATGCTTAGTCACACCACACCCACAAACTAGTTAACTACCTAGTTAACAGCTTTATCAGGCACTGACTGACTAATATTATAACTACCATAATCAGGATAACTAACTACATCTTAAGAAATGGTAAGCTCATATTGCTTTATATATTCTTATAAGTTCCTTTCTGAGTATCCATGACTACCTAGGTGGTTACTTACTTAAATAAGGGTTAATATAATTTAACTAAGATGATTGATAAATATGATATTCTGGAAGTTCTCCTAGATACGGAGTTCAGACAGAAGAATATCTAACTAGCTAGGTCGTTACTTAGATAAAGAGTATTCTATAGTTAGAGACATTTTCTACCTAGGTACCTAGTATGTGCTCCGTAGGTTTGTAACTAATATTGGGGTATTCCGTACCCAAGCATCTCTAGGATTACGAAGATTAGGTTAGGTGACTTAAATGGTCTCACTCGACTCTCGGCTTTCTGAATTTGAATCTCTGGACCCTGACGCATGACCAGACGACCAAGCTAAGGTACTCCCGGCTCCGTATCTACTCCGTAGGTAGACTTATCGAGTATGACTAATCAAGATAAGTAACTTCGTTAATTAATTTGATTTGTTAGCTAAATATATTTTAGCTAGTCAGATATCTTAGACATTCAACTACTTAGATAACTATCTGCGGACTTATGGAGGTACCTAACCGTGGCCCTAGTGACTATCTTACCTACCTACTTGAGCACGACACTAGATAGGTTTGGTCCAATAACTTCCAGGCATTCCCGCTGGAGTAGCGAATAGTTGATCATTCTGGACAACTGAGACTCATATTGGCCCTCTGGTTCAGCTCCTTTGTCAGTGCCGCCTTTAATATTGCAGCATGGATACTCCCAAGCATTCATTGCAAGAAGGTCGTCTCAGCAGGTCTTTTATGTCAAGTCCGAATTGTCGGAGGGACTCGATGAGAAGCAGGTTATTTCATGACCACATCCCTTCCTTCCTAAAGAAGTCATGCTGATACCGAACCAGTGTCAGCATTGTGTCTGATGTAGGAATGGCACGGAATGAAGTATGCCACTTTATCATGTCCGTCGTGAAAGAACACCACCTAATGACACCGATAGGTATTTGACGGACCAATCTCTGAGAGTATACCCTCTAGTATTGTCTCTTTCGCACATCGTCGAGACCGAAAGGACTCAACAGTTAGCCTTGCATTTTTTGAAGAGAACGAAGACCATCGAGAATGGGCAGATGAAGATGCAGTTGATGTCGATAGCGACCACTATGATCTTGAAGTGACGGATCTACAGACTGCCAATCATCCCTTTCAGTCGAAAAGGTCACCTTCATCCAGAGACCCTGTTGAGGAGCCTTTGCTCTCTCGATCACACTCGACCAATTCTAACACACGACATTCGAGTGTGGGATGCAGACTAACCCAGAAAATTTACATAGACTCTGAAGATTTAACAGCTGCTCTCGCCGGTTTTTCAACAAGCACTGTTGGTATTCTCATTTATTCAGCACTGTGCATTCTTACTCTTGGCAGTGCTTATCTTATATTTCGATGGGTGCCAAAATGGCGTTTCCGTTTGATTGGAAAACCTGCTCCACTTTGGAAATGTCAATGGGTTGTAGTTGAGGTAGGTGTAGCTTTGAATCAATAAGAGTAAAAGGATACTAATTCTTGTTAGGACCAGTGGAATCAGCTTGTGGTGCTGAAAATCCACACGCAAACTATCGGGCAGCCGATTAATACCATCTTCACAGATCTACATGGTTATTCATTCCAAAATGAAGAAGAAAATGACTCATGTACTGGGTCTCTGCGATATATTGACTATCGGCAAATCAGACTTTTTTATCATCCATGCAAGGACAAGTTCTTCTCCATTAGCGGCTGGAAAGATCCACTTTGGACAGATGTGAAGGTCATGCGACGTGGCTTAGACACTGATGACCATGAGAGCCGTATCAAGCTATTTGGCAAGAATCTACTTGACATCCAACAGAAGTCAATTCCTCAACTTCTTGCCGACGAAGTAAGCACTCCTGTCAATGGAGAAACTTGTTTATGATGATTCTCACTACCCAAGGCTTTTCACCCCTTTTACATTTTCCAAATCGCCAGTCTTCTTCTCTGGTCACTGGATGAGTATTACTACTATGCAGTATGCATTTTTCTCATTTCAGTATTCAGCATCAGCGCAACTGTCATTGAGACCCGATCTGTTCGTGATGTCCAGTAATAGGAGCATTGAGCCTAAGCTAAACATTGTCAGACACTGCGTCGCCTTCGGGAAATATCGCTTTTTGAATGTCACCTCCGTGTCTTGCGAAACGGCTTTTGTGAGTATTGAACCCCTTTCATTTGGCTATGATGCATTCTCCATATCCGTCTGACCATATTTTTACAATATAAAGGGGGGTCTGTTCCTTCAAGCGAGCTAGTACCCGGTGATGTATTTGAAATCTCTGACCCATCATTAAATCAAGTTCCTTGTGACTGCCTGCTTCTTTCTGGAGATTGCATCGTTAATGAGAGCATGCTCACAGGTAGGCCTTAGGAACTTATCCACTCCTTTCCGTGAATGACCAACCAAAAGAGAAAAGCTGTCTGACTGACTACAGGCGAATCTGTTCCTGTATCAAAATTCCCATTATCAGATGATGCTCTCAGAGCCCTTGATTTAAATGCCCCTTCTGTTCAGCCAAGTGTTGCAAGTAATTTTTTATTTAATGGCACAAAGGTGATACGAGCGCGACGGCCACTAGATACCAATGATGATGAGGCTGTTGCACTGGCAATAGTTGTGAGGACAGGGTTCTTGACCACAAAAGGTGCTTTGGTCCGTGCAATGCTCTTCCCGAAGCCTTCAAACTTCAAGTTTTATCGCGACTCGTTTCGGTATATCTCAGTCATGGGCATTATTGCCATCCTGGGCTTTGTCTTATCCTTTGTTAACTTTCTTCGACTTGGAGTAAGTGTCCAAAAAATGATATCATATCCCCACTAACAGCATATAGCTTTCGTGGCGGGTTATTATTGTAAGAGCACTGGACTTGATTACAATTATTGTACCGCCAGCTTTGCCTGCAACTTTGACAATTGGCATAAACTTCGCGCTTGCCCGCCTGAAAAAAGAACAAATATTTTGCAGTAATCCTCAGAGGTGAGTGGTGCCTCAGCCTTTGTTATCTAGTTATTGTATTTCTTGCTAATATATCTTTAGGGTTAATTTTGGCGGTAAATTAGATGTTGTCTGCTTTGACAAGACAGGAACGCTTACTGAAGACGGCCTGGACGTGCTGGGAGTTCGGGTGATCGACCCTAATACCAGGTGAGTCACCATTTATCGTGGATTATTTAGCCTGCCTAACAATGTATATCAGATTCTCAGAGTTGCTTACTGAGCAATCTCTCCTACACATGAGCGTGGAATACCCGTTGCCCTTGTGTTCTCACTCAAAAAGACATGATATCATATGTACCATGGCAACTTGTCACTCATTAAGAGTTGTGGATGGGGAGCTGATAGGTGATCCTCTTGATATCAAAATGTTCCAATTTACTGGGTGGTCCTTCCAGGAAGGTGGAAGCAATATAAATCAGCACCCGATTTTTAAATATGATACAGCAACGCCATCTATTGCCAAATCTCCCATAGCATACCAATGCTCTGACCAGCAAGGACATCAGAGCCTTAATGTAAGTCATTTTGCGTCTACTCCTGTCATGTGGTGCATGAGACTGACTTCTCTTTCTCTCGTATATGGTTAGTCCCAAATGGAGCTTGGAATTATTCTGAATTTCGAATTTCGATCTGAACTCCGCCGATCAAGTGTTGTTGTGCAGCAGCCTGGCAAAGAAGAATTGACCGTCTTTGTAAAAGGAGCTCCAGAAAGTATAAAAGCTATCTGTTGCCCGGATTCAAGTAGGTATTCCGAAGCTTTCTACCCTCTGCAACTAGCTGAACATCGCACAGTACCGCTTGACTTTGAAGAGCTGTTGAACCAATACACCCATAGAGGCTATCGTGTTATTGCATGTGCTATGAAACACAAATTGAGACCTAAGCGGTTAAATATCTCAATGTTATCAAGGGCAGAGGCAGAGTGTGACTTGGACTTTATCGGCTTTATCATCTTCGAGAATAAACTAAAGTCAAGCACTACCGAAGTCATCTCCGAGCTGAATAAAGCAGGGATCAGAAATGTGATGTGCACAGGTGATAATATACTAACTGCTATCAGTGTTGCGCGGGAGTGCAGTATTATTAACCCTGGGGAACTTTGTTTTATCCCGCAGTTTATAGATGGTTTGTTTTTATGAGGCCCCCTTTCTTATTCAACTAGATTTACTGAAATAACTTGATGCAGGTGATGGCCCAGATTCCAAGATTTCTCTACACTGGGAAAGTGTGGAAGACCCAGATCTCAGGCTTGATAGCAGAACTCTGATGGTATGAAGCAGTCTCTCAGGTATGGAAATTCATGCTAATACATTTCAGCCTTCACGAACATCAAGCAGTACAGATTTATCTATTCCAGCCAATAACTACAATATGTGTAACTACTCTCTTGCCGTGACTGGTGACGTGTTTCGATGGATAGTGGATTATGAAACCGAGGATATCCTCAAAAGGGTTCGTCTGTTCTTAATATTGATCTATTACAGTCCTGTTTTGATAATTAACGTGCCTTTCTTTACTAGATGCTGGTACGCGGGAAAGTTTTTGCTAGGATGTCGCCAGATGAGAAGCAGGAGCTTGTACGGAATTTGCAAGCTCTTGATTATTGCTGCGGATTTTGTGGCGATGGAGCCAACGACTGCGGCGCATTGAAGGCCGCAGATGTTGGTATCTCGTTGTCCGACGCCGAAGCGTCTGTCGCGGCACCATTTACAAGTCGTGTTTTCGATATTTCTTGTGTCCTATCCTTGATAAAGTAAATATATGACTTGCGACAATCTCCCGAGTCTGTATTTCGTGCTAATTATTCAAAGGGAAGGCCGAGCGGCGCTGGTCACAAGTTTCTGCTGCTTCAAGTATATGAGTATCTATTCCGCGATACAGTTTACTACCGTCAGTTTTCTGTATAAATCAGCATCAAATCTCGGGGATTTCCAGGTATGTTGAAAAAAAGAAAGGATATACGTCTTTCAACCGGTTTGGACTGACATATCTCTAGTTTCTTTTTGTAGACCTAGCTCTTATATTACCAATCGCCATCTTCAGTATGTCTAGTACCGTTCGCGTCTTTACCAGTTGTCTTACTGATGCATCTGAGCAGTGGGAAGGACCGGTCCCTATCCGGAACTTTGCTTGAAAAGGCCGACTGCAGATCTTGTTTCCCGCAAGGTGTTGACTCCGCTAATTGGACATATTATAATTTGTGTCTTGACACAGTATCTAGCATACAAAACGGTTCAATTCCAAGCATGGTGAAAGCCCTAAAATACTAAGCTCCGTCGAGTTTCTCTAACTTCTACCAGGTACCAGCCCCCTCAGATAGACTTGGATAACCCAAACATCGAAAATTCCGAGAATACGGCATTATTTTTGATGTCTTGTTTTCAGTACATCCTCACAAGCATTGTACTGAATGTGGGCCCGCCATTCCGAAAACCCATAACATCAAATAGTACGTGCTTTATGAATGCTATTTCTAGGATTTAGCTGACATCTTCAAGAACCATTTTTGTACACAATTGTGGTTGATTTGTTGATATCCAGTTTTCTTGTCTTTAACCCTTCGGTCTGGGTATCGGACATCATGCAGCTGACATATTTATCCCCTGGGTTTAAAATTTGGCTTCTTGTGTTAGGGGTTTCCAACTTCTCGATATCTTTGGTGGCAGAGCACAAAATATTCCCCCCTTTGGCAAAGTTGATCGGTTACATTCGGCTTACAATGGGGCAGAGATATCAGAAGCGACGCCGCCAATATAAAATGGTCCTTGAGGAAATGCAGGGGTAGAACTCATTGAGCTCTTCCATTTCCTGATGGTTTTTCTTTCGCCTTGGATGATGGCTCAATACGTTTGTGAAATATGTTGCTTTACAAAGACTTTCTCTAAATGACTTTCGAGCATGCAGGTATATAAGAGGACGCGATTAAAAAAATGGAGGCTATAAATTTTCATAGTGAAATTTAGAATTCCTCTTTAAATGTTCCAGCCCTAAATGTTCCAGCCCTGTACCTTACTTCTCCTACTAGAAAATCAGGCTATCTTTGAAAGCACAGATTTCATGGGTTGTTTCCGCTTCTATTCTAGGATTTTGATAAGGAATATGAATGGCGACACTTTACTATCCTCTTCCCACCCCCTTCCCTTTCCATGCTCCGTCTCAGCCTTATACACATGGATGATATTCATGATATTAATGCTTGTTAATAAATGTTATGTATCAATGATCCCAGGGATGTTTCCAGCCAAGGAGAGCAGCGCCATCCTTTTTAGCACGATACATTAACTATATATAGAATATAGTGTCAGAAATGGACTTGAAATAACTGGTAAACAGCAGAGCGACATACAAAAAACCACATGCTAGCACTAAGTGCAGTTGCTGTAATGCGATATAAAGGCCGCGCTGGGTGGACATGTATTGGGTGATGACTAGCCATGGCTATATATTAATCAGTAATGATACCTAGTATATTGAGAACCAGAGTAACTACCTGAATTCCAGCTGGTGGAAAAGAGTCGAGAATGCCCTTTGGATTTAAGGTTGCTTAATGAGAGCGGTTGATATAGGCTACCCTCAGTGACTTCAAAGTTCAAGGGTCCGTGATCACGTGATTAAATCATCGGTACCGTGTACGTACTCCGTACCTGGACTTGTGAGTCTGGGTACCGGAATTATCTGTATAATAATTGGTGGTTTGACCAACCCCGTATATAGTGCACTATTTAACCTAGGTAATTCATAATACTCAGCTATCTATCCACATACTTGATTAATGTTAGTTTTTAATATTTATGGCTATAACTTGAGATTGGTAAAAATTCAATATTAGCTATATTGTAACCAGTAACTACTTTCTAAGTCACCTACCCGTACATATTTAGGTTTATGGATAATTTTCCCTTATGTTTAACTTATGCACTTTATTTTTCTTTCCATTCTTCTTTTATGTCTTTATATGTGTTCTGATTAAGTGGTCTTTGGGTTTAAAGAGAGTATTAAAATATCTTAAGACTCAGGCAGTTACACCCTAGTTCACTATGTTTACACATTAAGACTAATTAATCTACCGACACTGAAGGTTGTATTTTTATCAGGCCACTCTACATAAAGCTTACCTACCCCCCTCCCGATCTTATTACAGAGAGTCCCGTCACTTCTCAGGAAAGTTGACCAGCTTTTTCCACAATCTGCAGTACTTACTGGAGGCGTTGTTCTCCCTGTGAACCATTAAATCGGCATCTAAAATGTCGCTAGAAAGAGCTAGCAATGGTCATAGTCGATTCCATGGCTGTTGTAGTATACGTGAATTTGAATTTCTTGGGAAACTAGGTGAAGGGACTTTTGGGTAAGTGCTGCAAATACCAATAAATATAAAAACTAACATTTAACTCAATTCAGTGAAGTCTATAGGGCAAAGGCAAAGAAAGATAACTCTATTGTCGCTCTCAAGAAGATTCTCATGCACAATGAAAAGGATGGGGTAAGAGACTTGCAGCATTTTGAATATTGCCCTACTTTTTCTAATGATCTCCTAGTTTCCAATAACAGCACTGCGTGAAATCAAATTATTAAAGTTACTTTCACACCCAAACATCTTACAATTGAAGGAGATGGCAGTTGAGCGGGGTAAAGGTATATCTAAGGTACCTTTTTGAAGAAGAGTAGCCTAACATAGATTCCAGGCGAAGGCCGCAAAAAGCCGACGATGTACATGGTTTTTCCTTATATGGAACATGACCTCTCTGGACTACTGGAAAACCCCATTGTACATCTGACGGAACCTCAGATTAAATGTTACATGCTCCAACTGCTCGAAGGACTCCGATATTTGCATGGGGTAAGAACTATTCTTGAGGGTTGATTTTCTCTACTAATTATTTAGAATTGTATCTTGCATCGGGATATGAAAGGTAAGCTTGCACATATCATGAATTGCCATACTGAATTGACTAATAAATGGATCGAAGCTGCAAATCTTCTCATAAACAACCAAGGAATCCTTCAGATTGCAGATTTCGGGCTGGCCCGTCCTTACGATGAACCACCTCCTCAACGAGGAAAAGGTGGCGGGGAGGCGAAAAGAGACTATACAACACTTGTTGTAACACGATGGTACCGGCCTCCAGAGCTTCTTCTTCAACTAAGGAGGTATACCACAGCTATTGATATGTGGGGTGTTGGGTAATTCAAGGATTTCGTTGTTGATCTTCATCATAAACATGCTTCTAACCTTAGATAGGTGTGTTTTCGGCGAGATGTTTAAGGGGAAACCGATTCTTGCCGGAAATAGCGATCTCAACCAGGCGCAATTGATTTTCAATCTTGTTGGGACACCAACAGAAGAGAACATGCCTGGATGGACCTCGTTGCCAGGGTGTGAAGGCGTGAAAAACTTCGGGCAAAAGCCCGGAAATCTTTCGGGGGTTTTCAATGAGTACGTCCTAAACTCAAACTAACCTTTGTCCTTCCTATAGCAAGGCCATTAACGTCCCTCAAAGATTAAATTCTACAGCCGTATCTCTTCTTGGTGAGCTTCTTAGGCTGGACTGGCGCAAACGAATCAATGCGATGGATGCTCTGAGGCATCCTTACTTTTCAACCCCGCCACTTCCTGCTAGGCCGGGTGAATTACCTCGCTTCGACGACTCACACGAACTCGACAGAAAAAGGTTTCGTGGTCAAAGAGCGGCCATGCCTCCGGCTCCAGCAGGTGGCTCGGTTGGAATTGCTAACGGGGAGTGGTCAACCAATTCAGGAGCAACAGCGTTGGCGGACTATAGGCAAAGTCGTATTCCAGGAGCTGCAAGAACGGCATCATCCCTTGGCCATGCTATTCGAGAAATCAGTTCACGTCAGGGCTCTGAGAACCGCTTTTCAAATGAAGCACACCTAGTACGAGAAAGGCAAGAATTGGAAGAGCGCAACGAATCCTTGAAAAGCCGACATAGAGAAAGCGGTCTGCCGCCTAAACCTCCACCACCCATTCATCAGCCATGGGGTCTAGGTAGTTCTGGGAGACTTGACTATGATGAGCGACATGAACGGTCTAGTCAAACCCGCCTCGATAATCGATGGGAGGGAAATATAGATTCTTATGTCCCGAAGTATAATAGTATGGGCGATCACTCACGAGACAAAGAGGACGAACAATCGCACTTGAGGATGAGTCGTTATGAGCGCAAGGCTGAGAACCCGCGTCAAATGGCAGGAAGGGATTATCACCGCGACCATGCGTCCAGAAGACGAAGTCGAAGTCCACATCATCAGGAAGGAAACCGTACAGCTGCATATCGTCGGTAGTGGCAGACCAACTCTCAGAACCTGGCTTTCTGTTACCTTCATGAAGCCATAAACTACGTGATAAATGATTTATAATCCAACCATATTTTAGGGATAACAAGTAGGATCAGTTTTGAGATGTTGGAATTTGGATTGGTCTAAATCAAATTCATCAACTACAAAGGCTATAATAATAAGTGCACCAGACCAAATAAACGTTCTTCTCCATGAATTTGCCTGCTGTGGATTTGCAGGGCAACAAGAGACAGCATATGTCTACTATACATAGAATTGAATTTGAACTAAGACTGCAGATAAATTAAAAATAACTTTTTCTTTCTGAGCGACTGATTAATCGCTATGCTTGGTTACGCCTAGATTAGATACCAACCAAACCGGACATGGGCCCATTCTCATTTCAATAGAGAATACGAGTCATGATTCGAGCTAGTGACATAGTATCATGAATTAGTGTAGTCAATTTCACGGGTTGAAAAAAAGGGAAACATACAAGAAAGACCCTCCAAACGCTCATATAGATCCTTGATGGTAGCAGTATCGACGTCACTAATATCAGCCATCAAGTAGGCGACCTATGACTTATTAATTTGTGCACGGCATGAGTTGATACTTCAATACATACATCACCTCTGCTGTCAGTCATCTGCTTATCAACATTGTGATCTCCAAGAATCTCGTTAACTAGTCCAGTTAATTCTGAATAGCAGGTATTGATTGGAAATGGTTGACATACCCATTCGCAGAACACCGGGTATATTTTTGTGAATAAAGATGACCTAGATGAGAGATCAATAAACAACCATAGCAGAACAGTCCAGAAAGACGCACCCGAGCATGGCTTGGCTCATCCATAGTAAGGGAGCGCAGGTTAACTTCAGGAAGATTGACAGCACCTAGAGTTGCTCCCTCATTGACGTAGCGTACCAAAGCTTGGGCAACTTCAACACCGATGGCGCTCTGCGCCTCCTCCGTGCTGCCACCAATGTGTGGTGTCAAAATCAGATTTTTCAAGCCACAAAGGTCAGTGCTCCAAGAATTGAGGGTGTCATTGAAGTAGTCTCCATTTCCTGCGGGTTCGTTCGGATACACATCAAGTGCGGCACCTGCGATCTTACCGGAGCGCATTGCATGGACGAGAGCTGGAATGTCAACAACGCTTCCACGGCTAGCATTGATGAGGTAACTTCCATGCTTCATTTGCTCGAATTGTTTTTGCGTAATCATGTTCCTGGTTTCTGGAAGTTCTGGGACATGACATGTCACAAAATCCGATTCGGCAAGAAGAGCCTCCAATGTGGGCACCTGCTTAGAAGTTCCCATTGCCATGAGATTCACCACATCGTAAAATATAACAGACATCCCCATTGCTTCCGCAAGTACAGACAACTGGGAACCAATGTGACCGTACCCGATAATCCCTGCTCCGATTTACATTAATCATGGTTTTTGGATCAGAGAGAATAGTAACAATTTTCGTACCAAGTGTCTTCCCACGAATCTCCCAGCACTTATTGCTGACCTTATTCCATGTGCCAAGGTGCATCTCGTTAGAACGGTCGCCCAATTGCCGAGCCAAGGCAATGATTTCAGCAATGACAAGCTCTGCAACACTCCGCGAGTTACTAAAAGGGGAGTTGAAGACTGCAATGCCATGGTCTGCAGCGTATTGTAAATCAACCTGATTTGTGCCGATACAGAAACAGCCGATGACAATAAGATTCTTAGCTTCCTTCAAAACCCGAGCTGTGAGCTTTGTTTTGGAGCGTATTCCAATAACATGGACATCTCTAAATTCCGTAATAAGTCTCTAGGCCACTCAATCCACGGCTGGTTTACTTACTTTATTTTCTCAATTAATTGATCCTCAGGAAGGGAAGATTTGAGGAATTCCACTTGGTATCCTTGCTGGGAAAGAATATCACGCCCAGTTTGATTCACATTTTCCAGAAGCAAAACTTTGATATCCTCAGTAGCAAAAGGTTTAAGGTGCTTTGCTGTGGCTAAAGGACCAGTACGACTAATCGGAATGGAGCCTGCGTAGCCAGAGGACGGAGAATGGAAAGACACTGTAGGAGATGTTGAAAAGTTTAGGCTTGAAGACACATTGTGTGAATCATTGTTATGAGGTGATCGGATGTCTCTAGCTGCCGCCATTTTGAAAGGTCAATGAGGTGAACAGATGTTAAGAATTTCTGGAGGGTAGAGCACATCACTTATTAATTTGGGCCCCTCCGGTAATCGGACATGACAAAAAGGTAAGTTGGCTGCTAACTAACTAGATAACTATCTACCTAACCTAGGTATGATATAACTAACCCCACTCTATAGAGCATATTACCATTAAGCACTGAGTCATACATATTATGACTCACCTGACTAGATGTAGATTTACGGCCAACGGTTACCTATTTTTGTAGCAGGTAGTAATCAGTTATGATTGTACTCCCTGCGGGGTACTTTATCGCTAAGCGAAACTAGCTATTGGCTAAGATTTGACAGTATTATATCTGGCTAAATAGGTATGAAGTGGGCAAAAATCATGAAGGCGACGTGCAAGAAGCAAAAATCTGAGCGACAGGTCGACATCTCTTTCGGTACTGGTGTCGCTTCCCCTCCATGCAATCTGTTTCTCCAACTGCAAGCTTGCTCAGATTGGGACGCTTAATCAAATCTGCGTTGAATATTAGGGTAATATACGTACAAACAGCCAACATCTCTGGATTCTCTAAAGTTCTAAGCGGCTGGAATTTGGGACTATCGGCAAGAATAGGCCTTAAGAGGTATAAATGGTCTTTTGCAGCTCAAGTTTCCGGAGAGTACGCTCCTGAATAGAATTGGCTTTGAAGATGTTCTTTTCTTGATTAACAGTGGGTCATTCAATGGTTGAAAGTGTCTTGGAGACAGGAGTCAAAGAGATGCATGGGTCAATATTATATGCTATGAAAATTTTCTTCCCTATGTGACTCCCATTTCATACCTCCAAATTACAGGCCTAAGTTTCGCCTTGTGTTTGCCATTGTGATTTCAGCATTGAGGCGGGCCGCTTCAGCACCTTCTCTAGCAATTGTATCAAGATGATCACTTGGACCTTCAAGCAGACCAATCAAGGTTTCTCTAATAGGCGCCAGATGATGGGAAACCCGATCCGCAACGTGTTCCTTCAATGCTAGTAGACTGATAAATCCGTGGTCTGTAACGATTTCTGAACATGGTCTTCCGTCAAGATGGCTCAGAATCTCCAAAAGATTCGATACACCCGGCCGTTTGATAGGATCATAAGTGATTATCGGATTTGAGTCTGTCCTAGCTGCTTTGATCTTCTTGTGAATTGCTTCATATGAGTCTGTGAGCAGAATTCTCGATTTCTCATCTATGTGGGATTTCGACATTTTCAATGCAGGATCTTTGAGTGACATGATCCGCTTTGCAGGGGCTAACTCATAGTGAGTACATCACTGGGGTTAATTTTGTTTATGAATCAAGGTCAGATCAGCAGGGAAGGAATTACATATCAGAGCTTCTGGAGACGGGAATGTGTACCCATACATATGGTTGAAGCTATTTGCAGTGTATCTAGTAAACTCAAGGTGTTGTCTCTGGTCGTCTCCGACGGGAACATGGGTGGCCCTGGGATTCATTAGTGATTTATTGTATCATAGGCGTTTCTGTCATTTTGAACCTATGAACAAGAATGTCTGCGGCTTGGAGAACAGGATATGAGAAGAGCCCCAGTCTCAGTCTTGAACGCGCGTCGGGGTTTTCTAAATCCGCGTCTGCAGGCAATTCAAGCTTGCTCTTAGAAGAGTTAGCTCTTGGCGTACAGATTTACGCAGTTGGCGCGTCCGAAATTTGCATAATTACCTTCCATTGGGTCATTCGTGATAGGTAACCCGTGGAAGCAACTGTACTCAAGATCCAGTTCAACTCGGTGTGTGCTGGGACCTTGCAGGCTGTTAGCTTCTGACTTCATGGTCGCAGAGAACCATTACACACAGCAGATTGGAAAAATATAGTAGAACGGCGAGGGTCCAAGCCCACTGCAAGCAATGCTGCAAATGCCTGTTTTCTCCATGTCTTAAGGCTCGAAGGTTTTTGCGGCAGTGTCAAGGCATGGAGATCAACGACGGAGAAAAAAAGTCTCGTCCCTTCATCGGATTGATCCTGGAGTCGAACCCATTCTCGCAGGGCCCCAAGGTAGTTCCCCAAATGAGGAATCCCTGTAGGCTGTATTCCAGAAAAAACGATCCTCTCTGGGGGGGGGGGGTTTTGAAAAGCAACAGACTTGTGCCCCTTAGACAGGAGACAGTGCTGTAAGGAGCTTTGCCTCAAGTGTGTTTGACATATAGTATATTGTCGGTGGGGCCTCAGAAGGTGTTGTTGATATGTAGAGCAGCTTTTGATATGCATAACTTAGAGCAAGGTGGGTAGGTTGTCAGTGATGAAGGAGGTCTGTAGCTTAGTTATATAGATAGGTAAGGTGAGGTTATATGCTACACACAGGTCTAAAGGTTTAGATACACTCCACCTGTGGTGTGACACATAAAAATACACTATTTTGAGCCAATTATTGAACTATCATGATGTACTCTTTTCAGTTATAATGAATAGAGGAAAAGGGTCTAATATAAAGCTGTTGCTTCAGTCATGCATAATTTATGAAGGAGTTGTAGTGAATTGAGTTGATGCCAGTGATTCATTAATCAGCAAGATGGGTGATTATATAATATCTGAAGATTTACCCTCTAAAATGATAGGTGTAATGGCGGCGTCGAGTTTGCCCCCGGGGGGGGGGTACCTTGAGCTTAGACTGGCTAAACCCGACCCGCGGGTCGGGTTTGGGGCACTAGATTCCTAACCCGCCGGGTTTCCGGGTATGCCTAGGGCAAACCCATACCCACCCATGGGTATGGCGGGTTTTAATTGGGTAACCCGTGGGTACCCGGCACGTGACGCCAAGCCTATGATCATTACCTAGATAGGTTAGCATGGGTTGGGTTTTACCCATACCCATACCCACCTAACCCATGGTATTTTACCATGGTATTATAAATACATATAAAAAATATTAATATATTATATAATCATTTATATTATATACTATATAATCATTTATATTATATACTATATAATCATTTATATTATATACTATATAATCATTTATATTATATAAATTTAACCAGGTTAGACTTTAGTATCTAATACATTATGGTAATTTATTATACCCATGGGTTTAAACCCAATCTGACCCATGACCCGACGGGTATACCCATACCCAACAGGTGAGTATGACACCTGATGGGTATACCCATGGGTTCTAATTAGTAAACCCATACCCGACCCGGGCGCGGGTCGGGTCGGGTTGGGTCGGGTTCTCCGGGTCGGGTTCTCCGGGTCGGGTATAGCCAGTCTACTTGAGCTAATGTGATAGATGGGCTAACTTTATTCCTAGTCTAGACTAGCTCCTTAAGAAGAGAAAGATTATGTGTGTCTTTTGGAATACTTCATCTGTCATCTCTTCTTTTCTCCTTTATTTAAATATTTTAATTTTATAGTCACTAATGGATTATTTATATTAATTAAGATTATTATATAATATTTAAGTTATCTTTGCCTGCTTGTATATAATTAATAGAGTTAAAAGAATATTGTATATGATGACTAATGATGGTGATCGTTAGATTAAGTATTAGGAGACAACTAATGTATTCCACATGTAAACCATGCACATGGGCAAGCCGCGCAGGCTTGTATACCATATAAAATATCAATATTATGACCATTAGTATCACCCTATATATTATATTATATACTCTAGAAATCTCTATATATACTATTGGCTAAGCACTAGCAGGCCTAGAAAAGGAGGAGATAACTAATGATTACTATTATTATACTAGCTTAGATATAAAGTAGGTAGCTATATAATATAGCTATACTAAGTAAAATATCAAGCCTAATTAAATATATACCTCTAGTATACCCTCTATTATTAAGCACCTATCTAGACTAGCTAATTTCTTTATTTAATATTAATTAAAGTATATAATAGTAGAAAAAGGGATTATTTATTTCTTATTTATTTCTTATTAATTATTTCTTATTTTATTTATGTTTAGTATAGGTAGACTGGCTATACCTAACCCAGAGAACCCGACCTAACCTGACCTAACCTGTGCCTAGGTCAGGTAGGGGTTTACTAATTAGAACCTATGGGTATACCGTATACCCATCAGGTGTTATACCTACCTATTAAGTATAGGTAAACCTATTAGGTTATGGGTTTATAAGTATATTAAATTACTATACTATATTAAATATAGAGTACTAAAGTCTAACTTAGTTAAATTTATATATATTAGATAAGATATCCTATATAATATATAAATATTTTCTATATATATTTATAATACTATAGTAAATTACTATAGGTTAAGTGAGTATAGGTATAGGTTAAACCTGACCTATACTAACCTATCTAGTTAATAATTATAGGCTTAGCATTATGTGCTGAGTATCCACAGGTTACCTAATTAAAACCTGCTATACATATGGGTGGGTATAGGTTTACCCTAGGCATACCCGGAAACCTAGCGGGTTAGGAATCTAGTGCCCTAAACCTAACCCGCGGGTCGGGTTTAGCCAGTCTAAACTATATAGGTTAGTATAGCTACTTTCTAAAGATTAATTAATTTCTTAAATATACTATATTTTACTTAATATAGAAGCTTTATTAGACTATTAATAAGATTTGTATAACTACTTATTTATATAATCTTAATTAGTCTCTTTTTTAATTCTATTATATTAATAAAATTAATATAGATAAAAATAGGGCCTTTTTTTAATCTTTATAATAATAGTTAATTTCTTTAATTATATAGCCTCTTTAATTATCTATAATAAAGTATAAAATTCAATAATAATATTTAATGTAATAATAAATATTTATTTATATTAAGCCTATAAAACTAAGATACTAATAAATAATATAATACATATCTGTATTAACTTATTATTATATTATTTATATAATTAATATAAATATTAATAGTGAGGCCTTTATATAGTCTATATTTTAAAATAATATTATTATTCTTATAATACTTTAAAAATTATAGAAGATATTTAATATTTATAATATTAATCTTTATTAAATATATAAATTAATATTATAAATAAGTTATTATATATATAATATCTATAAATCTTTATAATTAGCTAATTATCTATCTTTATTCATAATTTTTTAATATTAAAAGAGATTTATAAGAGAAGATAAATTCTTAAAAAGCTTTAAATTCTATAGATTTATTAATATATTAATTAATATATAATTTAATACATCTATTTTCAAAAACTTTAATAATTTATTAATAATTTAAAGAGAAAAAGCCTTATTTAATTAATTCTTAATATAATTAATTTCTTCTTCAAGAAATATAATAATTATTATATTGTTAACATATATTAAAACTACTATTAAAGTATTTTATTTATGAATATAAATATAAGGATTATTAATAATAAAATAAATCTAAGCTCCTTAATTTTCTAATTAATTATCTAGTTTTATAATACTATTAATTATTATAGATTATATGATATTTATTATAAAAAATATACTTTATTATTTTAATTAGATTTTATTAAAATCTAAAGACTTATTTATTTATTAATTTAATATTTAAATATATTATAATAAAGTTAGTTTAGTTTATAAATATATTAAGTATTATAATTATTAATAATAAAATATTAATTATAGTTTTTAATATAATAAAGATATAGACCTTATTAAAATTATAATCTTATTATTAATAATTATTATAAATAACTTAAGAAGTTTTATATTTAATAATAAAGTTATTAATATTTATTTTATATATATAAATTTATTTATTAAGAATTAAAAATATATTTGTAATCTTATTATTTATTATTTAAGTATTTTTAGCTTTAAACTTTATAATCTAATCTTTAATAGTCTTTATTTAAAGATCTTTTTAAAAAGATATTATAGCTTCTTTTTATAATTTAAAGAATATAATATTATTTATTTTAAGTCTTAAAATTAATATTATTATAAAGTATCTCTTTAAGGGTTTTTTAGGATATATTATAAATATTAACCTTATACTTTTTATAAGCTTATAAATTTATTCAATATAAATATTATATTAATTAAATAATATAAATTTATTAATTCTAGATAATATATATAGTATAATAGATATATCATGTATATATATTCCTATAGTCCTGGTTACCGCCGCCCGGCCGTCGGTGACTCTGAAAGGGCCCCGAACGGGGCCATATTAGAGGATAATGCAATACTCACTCACTCACTCACTCAGTATAATAGATATATTAAAATTTCTAAATTAAGTATAGTTAATTATTTAAATAATATCTTATTAAATAGGATTAGGGAATAAAGATAAATAGTAACTAAAAGACCTAAAAATTATAATATATTAATTAATCAATAATAATCTTAATTAAATACTTACTTAAGCTCTCTTTAATAGATTTAAAAATAAAAAAGATAGTATTAAAATTATAATCTTTAAATTCTTTATTTTATAGGCTCTGTTTAATTATCTTAAAATACTTTTTATTATTTACTATATTAATATTAAATTTATTAAGTCTAAAGCTATAGATTATTTATTTCTTTCTTAAAATCTTTAATTATTATATTTATTTATTCTCTTATTATAGGTCTCTAGGTTATTAGAGGATAATGCAATACTCACTATAGGTCTCTAGGGGGGCTAATAGTATTAGATTTATTATTTCAAATTAATATAATAGTTATTAACTATTAATTTTAATAAGCTTTATTATTATTATTTTTTAAGAGTTATATTAATCTTGAGATATATTAAAATATTTAATAATAATAATAATACTTATATTTTATTAATTATAAATTAGGCTTCTTTAATAAAGCTAATAAATTTAATAGTAAGTTTAGCTATAGAGGTAGAGAGTCTAATATATATTATATAATCTATATTAAAGAAATTATTAAGGAATAGATCTTTAAAAACTATTATTAATAGATTATTAAATTAATTAATTATATTATATTTTATAAAGATAATATCTTAAGACTTTTTAATTTTATTACATAATAAAATCTAGACTCTATAAATATATTTATTATCTTTTTTATAATTAATAAGATGACTATACTTAATATATAAGCCTATTTTATTTATTTATATATAATCTTTTTTTAAGATATATTTATATACTATATATCTTTAATATTAAATATAAATTTTTCAAATAATAAAATTTATTATATTAAGTTTCTTTTTATATATTTTTATAATAAAGATATATGTTAGAGGTGTCTGCCTAGTTAGGCTTAGCGCTATTCTGCTTGCCTTTTCTCTCTC